TTGATTACGATAAAAAGATATTCATACCATAGAATATGTGTCAGTTTTGGTCACCTGCCACAATATGTAATGATGTAGCTTGGTTTTTTTAAAACCAAAGTTTAGTATACATTTTTGGGGAGGATAGAGTATGAACTTATAGCTTGATATGCCACTACTCCTCTACACCGGCACCGGGTGCCATAGATCCCCTGGGGCCAGAAGCACTCTTGGCCACAAGACATGTAACTGAACTCTACCGAACTTAAGCACGAGAACTCTAGCTGCAGGAAGACACAACTACGAAAAACTCTACTGCACAGTGGACCGTCTGCAATCAAGCACCCGGGGAAACTCTTCTCCACACCTGACTCCCACTCCATTTACCTTTGGAAATGCCTCCTCTACTCCTCCTTTTCATATTCCTCTCCTGCATCCCCAAAATCTCTTTTCTCTGTCCCTCTGCTCCAGCCAAACAATTGTACACCTCACCTTCACTGCTTCCATCTCCCTACTACTGCTCTCATCACCTCCTCCTGATACTCCACTCTCCTGCTGACCCAAACACCAGAACTGAAAGACATACGCGCTCATATACATCCTGCTCCCATGCCACCTTCCTCATCCTTCTTCTCCTCCTAACCTCCCGGGGATATCTCCCCAAACCCTGGTCCTCCACTACCTCGCCCACAAACAAGACATCCTCTCTCTTCTGTGAACTGCCGCAACCCCCTCAATCTTATATCTGTCCCACTGCTCCCCAAAACCACCCTCCCATTTTCATGCGCACTCTGGAACGCCCACTCGGACTGCAACAAGCTCACCTCCATCCATGACCTCTTTGTCTCCCACTCCCTTAACCTCCTAGCGATCACCAAAACCTGGGTCCAAGCAACAGACTCTGCCTGCCCCGCAGCACTCTCCTATGGAGGTCTCATCTGGACCCACTCACCCAGACCCAGTGGTCGGAAAAAGTGGTGGGGGGTTGGTTTGCTCCTGTCACCACTGAGCACCTTCCAAGTCCTCCCTAACCCTCCCTCTCTATCCTTCTCTTCCTTCGAGACCCACTGCATCCGGCTATTCTCTCCAATTTCTCTGAGGATTGCAGTGACCCTTCTTTCTCTCCTCTAAACTACCCACTATCATCCTCAGAGACCTCAACATCCCTATCAACATCAATAACCCGGCTACATCCCAACTCTTCCACATAACCTCTTCTTTTGCACTAGCACAGTGCATACCGTCCTCCACTCACTCTGACGGGAACACACTTGACCTTGTCTTCTCTCACCTTTGCACTCCCTGCAACCTCACAAACACCCCCATTCCTCTCTCCAATCACAACCTCATCACCTTCTCTGTCTCCTCATCCTCAAACCCCTATCCCTCCAAACAGCAAACAATTACCAGCAGAAACCTCCGGAACTGGAACCCTGCTCCCTTCCACTCTGCGGCTGACCAACTCTATGACAGCATCCATCCCCTGTGTTGCCCTGACCTGGCCACTATTGTCTACAACAACTCTCGCTTTCAGCCACTCTAGACTCGCTCGCACCCCCAACAACACGAAGCATTAGGCCCCAACCACTACAACCCTGGCAGACCGACCACACTAGAAACCTCAAATGACATAGTCGTGCGCTGGAGCAACTATGGTGTAAAACCAAATCCCAACAAGCATTCACCCGCTATATATCTGCCTTCTTAACATACGCTTCCTCCCTTCACACTGCCAAACAAGCCTACTTTATTACCCTCCTTAATACCTTCTCCTCCAGTCCTCGCCAATTCTTCTCCACTTTTAACTCTCTACTTTCTCCGCCCCCACCTCCACCCTGTACCTCACTTACTGCCCACGAGCTAACCACTTCAAAAACAAGATTGACGCAATTCGTAGGGACTTCGCCACTGCTCAGACACCCACCCCACTTAGCACTCCTCACAAAATAACCCCCTCAACACTTTGCTCCCTTGACCTCACTACCACCGAAGAGGTCAATAAGATTTTCTCTGAAGCCCGCCTCACCACCTGCCCCCTGGACCCTGTCCTCTCACTACTGCGGTCCCCCTCCTCTTCCATCCTATGCTCCCTCACTCACATCTTCAATCTTTCCCTCTCCACCGGTACCTTCCCCTCCCCTCTAAAGCACGCGCACATCACTCCCATACTTAAGAAACCCTCCCTGGACCCCACCGACCTGAACAACTTAAGACCCATCTCCCTACTGCCATTTACCTCTAAACTCCTAGAGCACTTACTCTACAATCGCCTGAGCTCCAATCTCATTGACAACAACCTTCTTGACCCTTTACAGTTCGGCTTCCACCCCCTACACTCCACCAAAACTGCCCTACTCAAACTCACCAATGACCTACTAACCGCCAAAACCAATGGCCACTGTACTATACTCCTACTACGTGACCTCTCTGCGGCTTTTGACACGGTTGACCAACCCCTCCTCCTCAAAAAACTGCACTCTCTTGGCCTCGGAGACTCCGCTGTCTCCTGGTTCTCCTCCTATCTATCGCAGCGCTCCTTCAGTGTTACCTATAATGCTGCCACCTCTCCTTCTCTCCCTCTCTCTGTTGGGGTCCCTCAAGGTTCTGTCCTTGGGCCCCTCCTCTTCTCCATCTACACCTCCTCCCTTGGCCAATTGATAAACTCCCACGGCTTCAACTACCATCTCTATGCCAACGTCACACAAATCTATCTCTCTACCCCCTCACCTCCTCAGTCTCCAATCGCATCACCAGCTGTCACGAGCCGACTGACGGTAGCCTCTAGCGACCCACAGGCCTGAGTCCCTCAGGGCGCAGAGTCTAAGCCTCAGTCTGCTGGTTCACCAGAGCCCCTGATGGTGGGGATGGACTTGAAGCAGCCTGAGACCAGGTCGTGACCCCCGAGTAACACCAGCTGTGGTAAAGGCAGCCGCCAATGGCGTAAAGCAGGTAAGAGCCAGATGTGAAGAGGTATAATGTGGTCAGACAGGCCGGGTTGGTAACAGCAGAGCAGACAGTACAGAGCGGCAGGCAAAGAATAATCAGGTCACAGGCTGGGTTCAGCAACAGGAGGTCAGGCAATAGGATCAGGCAGAGAATGGCCAGGACGAGCCAAGGGTCAGAGCAGGAGAGGACAACAGTATCAGGATCAGGCTGGGTTGGCAACAAGGCAGTCAGAAGTACAGGGAAATCAGGAACACAGGAACACAGGAACAAGACCATAAGGCAATTTGGAGATGCACAGGGCTGGTTTAAATAGGGCGCCCTGTGCTCTCATTGGTGACAGGCACGCGTCCGCGAGTGCGCATGCGATCACCTAAGTCTCAGTGCTCGCCAGCTAGTGCGCGTCGGCGATCTGCGCCTGCACGCACCCACGAGCGGCCGAGATCCCTGACACCAGCCTACTAAGTGACATATCGAACTGGATGTCACTCCACTTCCTCAAACTCAACCTTTCCAAAACTGAGCTCCTAGTATTCCCCCCAGCCCGTGCCCCCCCCCCCCCCCCCGACTTCTCCATCAAGATCAACAACACTATCATCAGTCCCACCCCTCACGCCAGTGTACTAGGTGTAATCCTAGACTCCAATCTGTCCCTTCAGCCCCAGGTCCAATCGCTGACAAACTCATGTAGACTTCACCTCCGCAACATCTCCAAGATACTACCGTTACTAACCTTGGAAACCACTAAGCAACTCATTCACTCCCTTATTATATCACGCCTTGACTATTGTAACTCCATCTTCACTGGCCTACCTCATCGCAGGCTATCCCCACTCCAGTCCATCATGAATGCTGCTGCCAGACTTATTCACCTTATTAACCACTCTGTATCTGCCATCCCTCTCTGCTAATCCCTCCACTGGTTTCCAATTGCCCAACGGATAAAATTCAAAACACTAACACTGACATATAAAGCCGTTCATAACACTGCCCCTAATTACATCACCGACCTTGTCTCTATATACCACCCAAACCGTACTCTCCGCTCCTCGCAAGACCTCCTACTCTCTAGCTCCCTTGTCTCCGCCTCCCATGCCCATCTCCAGAATTTCTCAAGGGCTTCACCCATCCTCTGGAACTCCCTACCCCAATCTATCAGGCTACTCTGCTCACTTTTAGGCACATTCTGAAAACCCATCTCTTCAGGGAAGCCTACCCCATCCCCAGCTAATACTGGAATCCTCTACTCTTCCTACCATTCCATCCCCCACAGCTAATTACCTCTTGTACCACTATCCCCTCCCTCCTAGATTGTAAGCTCCGAGGAGCAGGGCCCTCTAATCCCTCTTGTATTGAACTGTATTGTTACTGTACTGTCTCCCTCCATAATGTGAGCAAACTGTCGGCGCTATATAAGTCCTGTATTATAATAATAATAATAATACACATTAGCTATGTATAATGGTATGTATTCCATTACCTGAAGGTGTCTGCTTGAGCTACAAATCTGTTTTCCAAAACTGTCTCCTAGCACTGTAAAAGTTTACTGCAGTCTTGGCTACATAGAAAAGTTGTACTGCCCTCCCCTTCAGTTCTCTCCTCCATTAGTAGAACTTATCCTACTACAATCACACAATTGCATTCTGTGAACATGCAGTGGAATCCTATGAGGAGGTGAGCAAAACCTTGGACAGAGGGGTGGCAGTGGACATAGTATACTTGGATTTTGCAAAAGTGTTTGACACTTTTCCCAACACATGGCTAATGTGTATGGTAAAGTCTAAAGGCTTGGAAAATATCAGTATGTAAATAGATAGAAAACTGGCTAAAAGACCATATTCAGAGAGTAATGGTAAATGATTAATACTCTGAATGGTCTAGGGTTGTTAGTGGTGTACCCCAAGGTTCAGTGTTGGGACCCTTACTTTTTAATATATTTATAAATGATATAGGGTCTGGGATTCAAAATACCATTTCAGTCTTTGGAGATGACACCAAGCTGTGCAGTAGAATAACGTCCTTACAGGATGTCTCCAACATACAAGCCGACAAGCCAATGCACTGCTTAATTGGGCAACTATGTGGGAAATGGAGTTTAATGTTGATAAATGTAAGGTTATGCACTTGGGGGCAGGGGCGGACTGACCATTCGAGCACTTGGGCACTGCCGGAGGGCCCTGGGTCAGTAGGGGGCCCCATGAAATGCCCCTGGTACCTTTTTATAGGCTTTTTTGGGTGTGCTTTGAGTGTGGGCAAGGACACAGGGGCCCCATGATCCCCTATTGCCAGGGAGCCCCATGAGTTGTCAGTCCGCCCCTGCTTGGGGGCTAAGAATATGCATATGTCATACATACTGGGGGGGGTACAACTGGAGGAAGCAATGGTGAAGAAGGATCTGGGAGTTCTGACAGATCACAAGCTTAATAATGGCATGCAATGCCAAGATGCAGTTTCTAAAGCGAGCAAAATCCTCTCTTGTATTAAAAGAGGTATAGACTCCAGAGAGAGAGATATCATATTACCCCTGTACCCCATTAGTAAGACCTCATCTGGAATATGCAGTTCAGTTTTGGGCACCAATTCACAAAAAGAGTATTGGGGAACTAGAGAGTGAAAATGGCAAATAAACTGATAAGAGGCATGGAGGAGCTCAGCTATGAGGAAAGATTAAAATAATTTAATTAATTCTGTCTTGAGAAGAGGAGATTAAGGGGGGATATGGTGAACATGTATAAATACATCAGTGGTTCATATAGTGAACTCCGTGTAGAGCTATTTACCCTGAGGTCATCACAGAGGACAAGGGGGCACTCTTTACATCTGGAGGAAAAGAGATTTAATCTCCAAATATGGAAAGGCTTCTTCATAGTACGAGTTGTGAATATGTGGAATAGACTCCCTCAAGAGCTGGTTCTGACCAGCTCAGTAGATTGTTTTATGAAAGGCCTGGATTCTTTCCTAAAGGCACCTAATATAACGGTATACTAATATTTATAGGTACAGTTGATCCAGGGAATATCTGATTGCCTCTCCTCGGGGGATCAGTAAGGAATTATTTTCCACTGCAGGAGCAAATTGGATCATGCTTTGCTGGGTTTTTTTGCCTTCCTCTGGATCAACCGTGGGTATAGGATTATAATTTTTTTTTTTTTATGTTTGAACTAGATGGACTTTTGTGTTTTTTCAGCCAGACTGTAATTATTTAAGTATGCTCTACTGCCCATTCTAACAGATTTCTCTATTCACGCTCCGACAGCGCAGATGGATGAATCCCCATTATTTGTACTTAGTATATCACAAATTTCCTGATCAGTCTGCTGAAATTATTGCACTGTAGTGTATTTACTAATAATACTTGTTACTCAACTAATATTTATATTTGATTTGTGCAACAGGTTTATTTGATCAAGCAGGGGTGAAGCAACTGTCATAGAACTTGTGTTTTTTAGGTAGCCTAAAATATTGCTTATTTTCCTATAAATGATTCTCTAATATAACCCACTCATTCCAGTAAAAATGCTTTGTTGTTTAATGTCTTTTTTGTACTTTTTTACCCTCTTTGCTAGTCTTTTCCTGACAGTGATGTTGCTAATCCAGGACTGTTTTGCTGTTTATTACACCTAATTCTCTCCATGTCTCCTCTCTTTAAAGTGGTTCTAAAGCTTAAATATTTTTTACCTTAATGCATTCTTTGTATTAAGGTAAAAAAAATGTTTAGTTATACATTTTGGCTCTTCACTCTCATTTTTGCTTATCTGAGCCATCATTTGATCCAGCACTGTGCATGTCTGTAGCTCTTCTCTCCCCCTCACTTCTGGGTCTCATTGGCTTTGCTGGGGCCCCAGGAGCCATTGACTCCCACTGCTATCAGTCAAAGACATTAAGGATGGAATGGGGGCAGGGCCAAGTCCCTCCCACTGCCTGTGTCAATGGACACAGCAGCGGAGCTTGGAGAGAAAGCACACAAGTGCCCCATGGGAAGTGGCTTCCCAAGGGCTTACTGGACAGAGAGGAGGAGCCAGGAGTGCCGGCGGGGAACCCAAGAAAAGGAGGTTTGGGGCTGACAGTGCTTTTCCATTGCACAGAGCAGGTAAGTATAAAGATGTTTATTTTTTTTTTACAATCACTTCAAGGCAAAGCCATTGAACCCAGGAGGTGACCCTGATGTGTAATTAACATCTACATTTCTAAACAAATTGTCATACTAATCAGTCTGATTGTTCAATCTCATTATGTAGGATTGTACAGAAATCTTAAAGCCTAATTTTAGCCAAAAGGGATATTACTTCGTATCAATGAAATACTGCTGGCTAATGCTTTAGTTAAAATCTTCCTCCAATCCCGATTCACACCTGCCATTGAACTTTTATGGTGATGCTGGGGTTAATAGAGCCAAGAGACTTGTCATATAAATTCATAAAGAATGACAACTATACCTGCCTTCTCTGCCCCTGTACTATAGCTTCCATGAAAGAAAAATGATCTATGAATGGAAAAGGTGGACCTTTCATTCATCCACCATCCTCCATTCATAGATCACTTTTCATTCATAGAAGCTATATACCCAGCTTGCTACAAGAGCCACTATAAGGAGGGGGGCCTAGAGTGATTGCAGGGACTGCTAGAAGACAAAAGCAATGTTTCTGTTACCTCTTTTTTGTTTATTTTCTTTTTTTTTTATTTCTTTTAAAAAGATAGTAAAGATTGCCCATATTTGCGCCTCTTTATTTTGATTATAATTTACTTTTATTTCGAGTTTTTCATTTTGGATTTCTAGGCAAGCAGCTGAATACTCAATTGAAATGCATCTATGGCAGTGGTCTTATTTGCAAAAAGGTTTGTATTCGGGTTAAGCCATTCCTGCAATATATACAACCCTACCAGACAGCAGATCCAGGTTGGTGTCCTGGATTTTCTTTACTGCATTCTAGCAATACTAGCATCCTAACCCATTTCAGTCATCTCTGTGCTCATTCTGCTCTCTTTCCCTGTCAGCTTGTTCCTTGCCAGATCATGAGCACAGCAGCCACAACAGCACACCTAATTAGCTTCTAGTACTGTGCCTGCCTGTTGTACAGAGGATTGCAAGAATATGATGCCATGAGAAAATCAAGTACTTACACTAGGTCTGTTTAAAAGTACATTTAATTTTAAATACTCACTTAATCACTGTTTTTACCTTTATTTAATCCTTTGCTGCATCTCAGTGCTTTTGCTTTCCTGCAAGTCTCTTTGCATCCATTTCTGTCTACATGCAATCCAGTGGTGGTTGCATGGCACATCAGAGGTGGCTTTTCTAATAGTGATAACAGTGGACAGTGTCTTTATAATGTGTGTTGAAATGGCTACTTGAAGTCTCTAATTTATAAAGGGGGCTTCCAGATTCCAATAAGCCCTAGCCAGCAGACCCCCACAACCACTAGGCTAGGGTTGTGGGGAAAAGGCACTTGTCCTTATCAACATGGGGTCAAGATGATTCTCCAAGTGGCCTGCTCTGCTAAAGTACACTCCCCATGTTGGGGGAATGTGGACTGGTATGGTTCAGGAGGGGGAGAAAATACTTGTCCTCCCCTTTCCTCACCTACCAAGCTACATGCTTGGATAAGGATCTTTTCTAGATTTGAGGGGTGACCCCACACTTTTTTCTTGCTTTAGCATGGTGTTCCCTTGGAATTTGAGGACACCCCCATAACATTTTTTCGTTTTTGTTTACATCCTCTGACTGACAGTTTAATAGACCTGGTGGGATTGACTGAGTGTTTGTTAGGATGCCAGCAGATGTCTACTCCCGGTAAGCTGTCAGTTTAGCCGAGGTAGTAATACCATTGTAAAATGTATATTTTCCTGCTAAAGCCAGAGGTTTGGCTCAGTCAGACACCCATTTAGTTTGATCATTCACTGAACACTGAGATGAGGGGATTAAGGGGGGATATGATCAACATGTATAAATACATAAGTGGTCAATGTAGTGAACTTGGTGTAGAGTTAATAACCTTAAGGTCATCACAGAAGACAAGGGGCACTCTTTACATCTGGAGGAAAATATATTTAATCTCCAAGTATGGAAAGGCTTCTTCACAGTAAGAGCTGTGAAAATATGGAATAGACTCCCTCAAGAACTGGTTCTGACCAGCTCAGTAGATTGTTACTAATATTTATAGGTAAAGTTGATCCAGGGAATATCCAATAGCCACTTGGAGGATTCAAAAGGCATTTTTGTCACCCATTGGAGCAAATTGGATCATGCATTATTGCTATTTTGTTTTTACCTTCCTTTTGATCAACTGTGGGTATTTTATAATGTATATGGGGTTTTTATTTGTGTGTGTTGTCTTTCTTTTTCTGTTTTGGTTGAACTGGATGGATCTCTGTCTTTTTTGCAACCGGATTAAAATGTTACTAAACCCACAACAGTAAAATCAGTCTGTATATGCAGTAAAGCATGCTTGTTATACTCACTGTGGAACCTGAGGGATTAATCCTCTGCATTGTGTGCAAATGATGTTTGATCCTGTCTTCTCTGATCCCCCTTCTTCCAGTATTCCAATCTTTTCTTCTAATAAGACATATTGTGTGGAATCACTCTGCACATGCTCAGATGGTGTGTATTGCTAGAGAGGTTTTTTTTCTTGGGAGAGTGCATGTGATCAGCACAGGGCCAATCAGCACTGTCTAGACAGAGGTCAGTGGTTCTGTATCCTCCTTGAGCAGAAAGAAAACTCCTACAAGCTTAAACCAGTGCTCTGCTGAACACTGACAGAAGTCACAAGACTGTTCTAACTGCTGATGAGAAAAGGTATTTAGCAGCAGTTTATATTTACTAAAATAATTGCATTTCTATGTTCTGTGTACTGTGGGAGATATAGTGAATGCAGGGTCATGGGTTTAGTAACACTTTAACTACTGTAACTATATCACATCCGATCCTCTGAATAAGCAACATATTCTAAGTCTTAGTCACCTGCTTTACATTGCCTATTTTAAAGAATTATGAAAAGGGCACTAGTTATGTCTACCTACTAGTAATCAACTTAAACTTCTTTACACTGTGAACTTCTGGGACAGGGGTGGACTGACAACTCATGGGGCCCCCAGGCAATAGGGGATCATGGGGCCCCTGTGTCCTTGCCCACACTCAAAGCACACCCAAAAAGCCTATAAAAAAGGTGCCAGGGGCATTTCATGGGGCCCGCTACTGACCCCGGGCCCTCAGGCAGTGCCCGAGTACTCGAATGGTCAGTCTGCCCCTGTTCTGAGACCCACTAAGGCTACAATCATACAGGTGAGCAGCACACCCTGTGAATTCTAGAAAGCAAGAATTTTGCAAATTTCTGTAGTCAGAATGACAGGTTTTTGTGAAGAGCTATCTGTATGTATCTGATCATCGGTCCCTGACCACAGATAAAATCTGTGTGAACAGTCA